TCTCTCTCTCTCTCTCACTGTCTGACCCTACCTCACTCTGCCTTTTCACTGAAGCCCTTTATGCTTGCCAACCATTCACTCTACCTCACTTGCAATATAGTAAATCCAATCACCTGGGTGTAAAAATAACTGCCAGGCACTTGGGTGCCCGGAAGACAGCCAAAGGGGCAACATGTCAGTCTGCCAGGGCTGAAAACTTTTAAAGACGTCTGGTTGTTGTTTCACTTATAGCTACAACTTTTAGCTTTTTCAGAAATATTTCAATGCTGCTTTTATTAATATTTTTCTTTCACCAACTCAGGGCGGCATACTACTCCTGACCATCTGCTGCTTCATGCAGACTTACACATTTGTATGGAGCTGGAACTCTTCAGTCTTAAATCCAACCGCAAAGTTGCTCTGGGTGATCCTGTTCCTGCCAGCCTCGAAGGTCATCTGGTAGCCGGCAAGCCAGCCCTCGTAGCCTACTACTGCTGCGCCGTGGATAGCTGTGCCATTGATGTCGTAGTTAACGTCACAGCCAAGGTTGATGTGGTCGCACTTGTAGCCCGTCTTGATCTTGCCGCTCTTCTTGCTGATAGGATGTTGGGGAGAAAGAATAGGTTGTTAATATCAATGTATCCCAGAGCTGGAAATATCACACTACTGTGACTATTAAATAAATGAAGGGCTGTTTATCAGGAATACAGGCTGTAACTATAGACAGTGTGACAAAAATGTCTAATATCAGCACTCCTTGCATTGTGCCCTTGATTTATTTATCCAAAAGTTAAGAGCAGGGTTCCATGAGTTCAACAGGCACCACCACCGACACTGTTGCATTGATCTTAGCATGTCGTTAGCCAGTGGACAACTGCTGCGGGTCACTGGTGTGTTGATTAAAACAGACCCATGATACCTTACTGTTAGTACTAAATATTGTTTCTAATAAAGATAAACGACTGACTCAACCCGTCGTAAGACATAAAGTAGCATTTTGCAACAAATTTATACATACTCACTGTAGAACAAAGAGCGCATGAAGAAATACTTCATCAATCTCCATTCCACTGAATTTTTCAATTCTCACTGATATTAACTTTAACATTTTCAGCTGTTCTTACCCGGTGTTTGGTGAGAAGGAGGAATCGAACGTCAGCTTCAGCCCCTTAGCCAACTGTTGAAAAGGTACAAAAGATTTATTCAACAAAAATAAAGATTCAGTTTAGTTAAACTGATCATGTTTAGCATTACTCCTTCAGTTGAAACTACAGTCCTGTGGAATTATAACAAGGCAAATGGCACCCACTACTTAAGTGGCAGGCCTCAGTGGACACAGAGAAAAGGATGCATGTTTCAAATAGCAACCTAAATCACATTTTAGATTTTCTTAGCCCCCACACCCTATCACCAACCTGGTCTTCAAGGGTGATCTCAGTCCCCAGGGTGTTGTCAGTGTTCCACTTCTCTGTGAAGGTCAGTCCGTGCTCCGACCACTTGTACTTGGTTTCCAGGGATCCAGCAACCTTGCTGGTCTCAGTGTTGGCAGAGCCTGTGCTGGTGAACTCCTGCAGATGACAGTATCGGTGTCAGAGTCCTACTGACAGGTGAACTAGCCAGGTGCATTGCCATGATACAATCATCTTATTGTTAAAGTCATTAAGTGGTTACATAGGGTTTTAGACTGATGTAGTGTTGTAAAGTGTCCACATTTAACATCTACTACTACTACTACTACTAAACAAAACAAAGGACTTCAGAAACATGTTGACAGGTTTTAATGAATTCAGTTTACAGATAAATCTCAGTCCAAACATTTAATAATTACATTCGGTGCTGATCCCACTAGAACAGGAACTTGATCTAAAATTGTGCAATAAAGTCAAGAAATTCATTTGATTTCAATCTCAAGTAAACTAAGACATACAGTATTTTTGATTGCCTTAACACTACATCTTTTCAAACTCAGTTTAAAGAAAAACAGCATAGGCCAAGGTGCTCTGGCAGTGTTTAAGAGAACCAGCCACTTAATTACCAGGCAGAGGCCTCTTAAGCTATGATAGGATGGCTGAAGTCTGGCATGGCAGCTCTGATAAACTGATAAAGACTGGCGACGACTTACCAGTCCATTCTCAGACTTCGTTTTCAAGTCCAGCTTGATGAGCCCGAAGCCTGAAACAGACAACATTTAATAAAAGATTAAAATGATGTCAGGACAGCAACACAGATCTAACATCTAATAATAACCACTCTGAAACATTTCATTATTGAAGTGGAACAGGCTTCTAAAAATCCAAGTACTGGATAGGCCTCAAAACGAGTACTACTTTAATGCCAATACTATTACTCCTGAACATGCAAAATTGTTTTCTATACTAACTATTAATACACATTTAAAGAACCCCTGTAGATATGTCACAACACATTAAATCAAGCTATTGATTAATGTCTGTGAAGTCCCCATTCATCAGCCTCCAGAGTAGATTTAAAGTTATTCATATGTCACTGACTGAATGTGTGTATTGATTCGATGTAGATTCTGTGAGGACATTAGTGCTGTCAGTCATGAATAATGGCTTCAAGTTGATGAAATGGATCCTGGGCTCGAGCCTAAAGCCCCATTCGTGGCCCTACCCAACATTATAGCCACCAACTGATTTACCCAATCGCACTTTACATGACCCAGAGATCTCCATGTTCATGTACTCTCCGGCCTGGTATGATTCCTCACTCACACTGCCCCTTCACTAAGCCTTCTACTAATTGACCCATCACTGTCAATCTTCATCCAGAGCTGTAGTTCCCACCCTACAAAATGGTCAGCAGCTTCACAGCTACTCAACTACTCCCAGGTTTGTGGCTTCTCTGTGAAGGTGATGGACTTAAATGGCCTAGACCTTCACTGAAACCCACAGTAATGATTTATGGTGGCTGCCAAGTTTGCGGCGATTCAGCCTTCAGGGATCATTTGAATCCGTCTGCGACTGGGAATTCCCGTTATACAGTATTATCATCATTCAGCAACCTTTAGAGCACAGCTGTATGTTTACACAAAACATAACCCAAGGACATGATCCGCTTTCCCTGCAGGCTCTGAACTACTCCTCAACATGTGTTCAGCTAGTGGTAAGATAGAAAAAGGACAGGAACTGGTTTGGATCCTTTGTTTCATTTGGCATTTTGGTGAACATTGCTTTCTATGCAGGGCCTGGATTTGTACAATCATTGAGACAATCAATCTAATCTTACTTCACTGCACAATATATGAAGAAGGTATTGTTCTTCTAGCATACAGGGTGGTAAATCATCAGTATTGTCATTATTATTATAATTATTATTATTAAAAAGGTATAAAAATGATATAAAGAAAGATGAGTAAATAAAACTAGATACACATTCTACCACCGCTAACCTCTTCAATAAAGAAACTTACATGCAATCTAAAGTTTATATTATTATTCCTATTATTTAGACAAGTATTATCACTAGCGAGGTAATACTCCAGGCAGCTGGTAGGGGCAACCAATGGTATCTTCACCATGGTACCAGAACTTAAGTTTTGCAATCTGATCATGAGATACTGTATTGATGTGATGAAATTCTACACACGATAATATCCTCAACTGAAAAGATTCACTCCACAGACTTTACCTGCTAGTCACAGTTAATATTACACAGCCTGTGAAAACAGTTGTATCATGTCTTCTGTGGCCCTTAAGGAGCTTTGTTAAGTCTTTAGTGCAGTTTTAAAATGAAATAAAAAGCACACGCGTACAAAATAAATACTGTTGTTTGCGTGTGTTATGAAGTGGCACAGAAGCACATGTATTTAATACATAATGTATGATTGATTTCTGCTTTCTGAATTTTTTTCATATTATATCAAAACGGTATCTGGTCAGTTATACTGGTCTACGATGATCCACAGAAGACCATTTTGTAACACGTTGTGCATCTCAGAGTCGCCTTTATGATTCAATGGCAGTATTTTATTGCAAATCAAACACTCTTCCTCTACGTGGCACTGCTGTAAAGGTTGATGAAATAACCACGTATGGTTGGCTGCCTGGTGCTTACCGTAACCCTTGGTAAAAACATCCTTGGCAGACTTTCCAAGGTCAACGTAGGTGGGAGGTACAGCCATTATCTGCAAAGAGAAACAGGACGATCAAGGCTACGACTGAGGATTCCTGCTGTCATCCCTCCAGAGCCCACAGAAACACAGCAGAGGGAGAGACACAGCCACCACCAGCAGATGAGCAGACTGACAGATCGGATGTGATGTGCTTGGAGAGAGAGAGAGAGAGCGGTGCTGGTGAAAGAGGAAGGCGGGAGGTCACTGAAGGATAGGAAAGGTACAAATCTAATGAAGTTGTTGGCTTTCATGAACTACACAGGAACACCGTGATTCTCGCACTCGCACATTAATTCAAAGTTGCAGCTATACAAGCCGGTGGCACATTTACCCGGCCCGGTTCCAACTATTACACATTTGAGGAAAAGTAAAGATCATTTTTGACACTACAGTCGTTTACCAGTATCAAATCGGATGTTTCCAAGTTGAAGAAGCCACGTTTAGAAAGAACAATGCAGGCAAACAGACCGGAGCACAAAGAAGACTCTTTGCTGACCCACTGAACGCGCTGCTCTCATGTGTGTGTGCACCTCTTTGTGTTTCATTTTCCTCAACAGCACGTTGAGCAAGACATGTCTATGTCATCATTAGACTAGATTTAGGTTCCATTTTTCAATAGCACAACGCTTATCAAGGTACGCTGTTACGCAGGCCTATTGATAACATACATGTGCATATTGACAGTAGATATAAGAGGAATTTCAACAGTTAGGGCTATTTCTCAATTAACATTTCTTAAATCCCAAGAACGGCAACTTCTGCTAAAGTATTGCGATATGTGTTTCTGTATGATTAATTCAACTATCACAACGGAACAATAAAGCAATGTTTCTCAAAATAATTGCAAAGGCATCACACCTGTACTCAATAATTACGAAAGCAACAAATTTATTCAAAAGGCGTGAATGAGCTATGCCTCGCTCTCTCAAAGAGCCACTGCCAGTCACCAACACCAGCAAAAAAAAAAATCCTTACTTCAGTGCAGTCTTGTCCCAATTATCTCCTTCAAGCCTGTTCACCCAGGTTTATGGGGAGCCACACCTTGTATCAACAACTGCACCCTTTTGCTCCAATTATGCTATGACTAACACATCGATGGCATTGCATCCCTACGCAGGTTTGGGGCCCTCAGATGTTCCTCTGCAGCCACCGTACAATCGGTCAAACCCCGGCATGTTACTCATTAAGGAGAGTAACGTAGAGGTCATAAAGAAGCATCTGAACAGGAAGCAGACTCATGACACATATCTGCAGTGGCCTTTAACACAAATAGCAAACCCACTAAAGGCATTCACCCTGTGCTAACACACACACACACACACACACACACACACACACACTGCAGTAGTTCCTACTATGCTTCTCACACATGGCCACAGGCAGTAATGTCAGAGGCTGTAGAGGACGTAGGACTAGGACACACTCTTGTGACTGAGGAAAAAGAAACCTTAATGACTTCAGGGTGAAGAGAGTGTCTTTATACTTATATATAACTTTTACAAAAGACAGGAGGCATCAACCCTACAGCACGATGGGGTCCATTCATGAAATGTCCCACTTTACTTAGCTCAGTTTGAGCTCTACCACCACTGTCCTTCAGCACCACTTCAGTTGTAGTCCAGTTTTAGGGAGATTGAGCTGTGAGACAGACTTACAATTGATTTATAAAGTCTAACTCTCCCTCTAGAGTGAACCCAGCAGGGGCCACTTGACTCAGACAAAGAGGCTTTAAGAAGACAGTGAAGGCAGCATCTCCCTGCCCTCGCCTGCTAACAGATTAGCACAAGTTAGCAGGCTATGAAGGTGGACAGCGGGCGAGTGTCTCCAGTGAGTAACGTTATGGCAGGTCGGCAGGCAGGGAGCCCGTGAAGGTGTCAAGAGGGTAAAACCGTAAGCTACCTAAGCTCCTTTACGTCCAGCTACCTGCACGACTGCCAAATGACCGCACCGCCACACATTAGCAGCAATGCTAGCAGCAGTAGGCTTGCAGAAGCAGCAGGCCTAGCATCTCTGCTGCACGTCGAGCAGCATCCGACTCCGGTTACAAATCATCGAGGGATGGAGACCGACAGCTCCCGGCTGCGGAGGTCAGAGTCCGCCGGCTGATAGCGGTGGCAGAGCAGCGCCGTGAAGAAAACACGTCGGCTGTGGAGCATTTTTCTGTATTTGGATGCATAACGTACCTCTGTGTGTTCCAGTCCTGACCGAGAAGGGGCTTGTCAACTGCACAAAGGGAGGAGAGAAGAGGGAGGTGGTGCGGCGTCACGTACGTTACGAGTCACGCAAGCAGCAGCGGGCTCCTCGTCGTCGTCAAAGATACAACATGCAGTCAAACGCGCAAGATAGTTCACGCCCTGCTTCAATAGTATTCTACTGTCGCTGTTGTTGACCACACATACGAGGTATTTGACTCCGGTTTTACATTGTTCTTAATGTACATACATAGATATAAATAAACAGGACAACAAGCTCAACAAAATACATATAAACTACTAGGTACAGTTACATTTATATTTCCATTTTATTTGTACTTATATTGTGTTAGATATTGTATATAAGTACTATTTATTTAATGATGTGTGAGTAGAACAACTGAACAAAAAACAAATTCCCCACCGGGGATCAATAAAATATTTCTAAATAAATAAATAAATAAATAAATATATAGTCATTATAACTATATGAACAAACAAAAACAATAACATTTATAAACAGTAGACAATAGGATGCTTAAATAACTATTTACGTGCAGGTTTCTTTCTTTGTGTACATGAGGTAGGTGTATATGACAGTGTATACAGTGTATACAGTATGCACAGCATAGGTTCCCACACATGTTCTACAAATGTTATTTGCCTAGCCTTCTTCATGTTTAACACCACATTAGTGCTGTGTACAAAGTGCTCAAGTACACTTTACTCAAGTATTTGCATGTTATCCTACTTTTTACTACACTATACTTTACTATATTGTATTTTTTACTCACTACATTTAGCAGCTGTAGTTACTTTGCAGAATAGTCTTTCACATAAAAAATATATAATCAGATTAGAAAATGAATGATTTTTATGGATCTAAATCCCCAGTAGTGGCCTTTTAAATAGCTGCTAACACGTCAATGCATACAATAATGAGTTCATTGCGTACTTTTAGATTTAATTCATTTGCATTTTGTTTATAGGCTAATTCTAAATGTAGGACATTGGTATGAGAGTATTTTTACATGGTGGTACTGAGAACTTCCATTTCCTTCCCTTTACTCAAAACCCATGCTGCATTAACAGAAGCAAAGCAGAGGCAGATACAGAAAAGCAGGCTACATACAGGCCTAACAACAAATACGCAAATACTTGATCAGATACCAAACAATAATGCAAATAGGTAGGGTTTTATTTTCAGCCCTGGAGTGGAGAGGTGAATAACGAAAACGGAAATATGAATACGTTACTAATCTCGCTCTGCAGCATTCTCTCTGGTATCGTCCGCGTATTACCTTGACGCATGCGCAGTTTACTCCGGGCGGCACGCAATTCCTGCGGCAACGCTAAATTCCTGTTAACAGCTGACTGGAGATCAGCTTTCTGCACCTTCACCACAAACCTCATCACACCGTGCAGTTTATTTAAACTGTCCCTGGACAGAGGAGCCATCTCTGCAGCTGTAACGTTACATCACATCTGTAGATTACAGGAGGACAGGATGAGCTTACACAGAGCTCATAGTTGACCTCTGGTGTTATGTGATGAAAGTCATTCACAACCTGCGATTAAAGCAACTATTTCTACTCACTTCATTTTCACCAGAAAGTCACTGTTTAGGGTAGCTGTTTAACATTTTATGTTATTGTACAGTACGCCTCTTATAGGATGTGCTATTTACAAAATCCTGCAGTTTGATTCAATCAGGAATCTGGACACTTTAAGATAAATTCCAGTGAAAGACAATGGGATCTCCTTATTTATTAGTAGCTATAAAAACTGTTATTTGATTAAAATAGTGGAAAGTGTAAGTACATTTACTCTCAAGTACTGTACTTATTTAGAGTTTCAAGGTACATTTTAAAAGCAAATAATGTACTTTTCACTCAACTACATTTACTTCATACCTATACAATATTGGTTATTTTTCAGGTTGATATTTTACAATATCATCAACATGATCATCCCCTCTCCCTTTCCACCCTTTCCTGTCACTCTTCAGCTTTCACTATCAATTAAAGGAAATAAAAGCCGCCCCCCAAAAAGGGTAATTATGGAATAAAATAAATAATAAATAATAAAAATAAATGTATTGTTAAACTACCCAACAGTATATAAACAATATACTTAATATTCTAACCTCCACCTGTTACAACATGGACATGCTGCTGACATGTCAGTGAGATTACTTAACACTGAGAGGGATTACTCTGAGTACTTTAACTTTTGATAACACTCATGTACTTCTACTTAAAAAAGATTATGAATGCAGGGCTTTTACTTGCAGCAGATTATATTTAAACTAGTATTTCTATTTTAACTTAAGTAAAAGATCTGAACACTTCTCCCACAGCAGTCTGAATTATATTTATGTATCATACATACAATTAATATTACAACTGCATTACCACAAGATCGATGTTTCCCCTGACTTAATTTTTATATTTTGATAGTGTACATTAAATACATTAAATGTTACATTTTATTTTTTTTTAAAAATAATAATCTGAATGTTTTTATTATTATATAGGAATTAGATTAAAAGTAACATTACAATGATTAGTTAATAGACCTGCAGTAAGTATGGTGAACTAAACCAGATAGCAATTTCATTTATTTCCACCAGAATAACATTCATATTTTTATTAAGGATATTAAGGTTATTTTAAATTACACAGCTCTGGTTCTAAGACTAAAATCATCACACAAATACCAGATTTAAAAGGCTGGTTGTATAGAGAGATGAAAGAATTTGCTCAGATCTTGTACTTCAAGTAAAAGTAGCAATACCACAGTGTAGAAATACACAAGTTAAAGTCCTGCATTAAACATTTTACTTAGGTAAAAGTACAAAAGTTTTGGCATCAAAGTATATTCAAAGAAAAAGGGAAACTACTCATTATGCAGAAAGGCCATACTTCATGTAATCAATTTGCTGGGTAGCCTGTGAATTTTTTCAAAGAGGTCGATAAAGTTTTATCTCAATCAATAATATTACATATTTTACATATATAATTTATTTGTGGAATGTATTTTGTATTATTAATATCAATCTGCAAATTAGTCACTAAAGTTATCACCTAAATGTAGTGGAACAGAAAATGAAATGGAAATACTCAATTTAAATACAAGTACCTCAAAACTTTACTTGAGTAAATGTAATCTGATTCCATTGGTATATTCACAAGTAAGTAAGTGTGTTAAGCAACTCTGTCTTGCCTTACCCTTGCTTGTTGAGTTGTGAATGTTTTCAGTTTTGCTTAATTTTGTGTGCAGGATTTCGCAGAAACACAGCAGTGTGGTTGAGTTAAGGGAACGTTGCCAAAACCTTAAGGCGCTTCCTTTGCAACAGGCACAGCTGCCAGCAAAAATCTAACAACAAAACACCTCCTCCTGTACCTATTTCCCCTATAAATCATTTCATTCTTAATGGTTATATTTGCTTCTTATTTGCTATTTTTCTCACCTCTGATATTTATTTTGTGTTGCTATGCACCAGTAGGGACTGTAGGTAACTATCTAAATAAATACCAGAACCAAAATGACTGAATTAATGTAAACTAAAACCACTGATTTCCACTTCTTGATATAAGAGAGGTCACTGAAATCCCCTGATATAAAAGCAAGTTAAGGACTTTCATCTGCTGATCTGGAAATTACAATCAGCCACTTACCAAAACACTATGAGTGTGTCTGTGGCTGGTTTATCTATCCTTTCCGTTAACTCTTTGAGGGTAAAAACCCTCAGTGACAGACACCGTCTGAAACAAAAAAACAACAAATACAAGATCCTGCAGCCACTGAGGTTTTGCATGTATTAAAACAGTTTAACGTTATGAATATGAGATTGAATAAGAGAGAGGTTGTGAACAGTTTTATCCAGTAGGTGTCGCTGTTGTTAACAACCTGAAAAAACTCTACTGTGAGAAGTTTATTTCAGAGAATTTAATGCACTGTGGCTTAACAGCAGAGTTTACCTTTGTCTGTTTTAAGAACCTTTCATTTCTAATTAATTATCCACAGTGTAATTTATTAAATGTTTCAGAAACATTTTAATGTAATCCTTTAACTATTCTATGAATTTGTGGGTTAAGATGATTTTGCAAACCTTTAAAATTTTAACAAAAAAAATGATCAAAACAGCATTTTTCCCTTGTCAGATGAAAACCTTTCACGAAAAAAAAACAGCACAGTTTTCCGTTTTTACAGATAATCCGACAGGTT